GTGTATACAAAATTATTTTGATGGACGGTCGTCGCTTCAGCTGAGCTAACGCCATGGTAGAAAACAGCGGATCGCGCGGTCTTATAATATTAAAATAATAAAATAAAAAGACGACGATACCACAATTAACACGCCTTTTATTTCGTGTYTAATCATATTTTTACCACTGATACCTATTAATTGTCCATTACATTATCGTAAGTAATATATCATCATATATCACGGATTTTGCAAATGGACTTTCAAAAAGTAGTTGACCAAACATTTCTCAGCACGATCCAGTGAGGGTCAAAACTTGCGCGATCCTCGTCGGACACATTGTTTACGTTATTCACGAGTCACGACAAGTAAGTATGTCAACCGCGATATTTTTCGACGGACGACTTTGACACTTGCCACCGACAGCTTTACTGCTAGAATTATGCCCACCCGTTATTTTCAAATTACAATTTATTGCCGTATTTATAGAACATACCCATATACGTACTAAACTACTAAATAGGTACCTAGTACCTACTATTCAAATCGACGATTTTTCAATATAGTAACTATTATTACAAATATATTTATCTTTATTAAGCTCAGCTACCTCTATACGTGTGTTCCGTGTGAACTATAATTCCCGTAATATTACTACAATGTATAATATTATGTATATATAATAGTTATTTGGCATTATGTAACAACAACAATTCAATTATTTTGATTTTAACGACTTTTTTTTACACAATCGATTAATTTTATTTTTATTTTGAATGAGCTAAATTCAAGATTTGATTTGGAACAGAATTTTGTTGATTTTTAGATTTGGAATTCAATAAAAGGATAATAGGTAGCACTGTAGCAGCCCACTTATGAAGATATAATATTAAATGAGTGCGTACCTGTGGMGTGAGTGACTGTCGATCGAGTTGTGGCACAATGGTCGTGACGTACGGATCGCCGTAAGCGACAGCCACCGAGGCGGCCGTCACTGCGGAATTCATGTCGCAAACATCAGCCGCGTTGTTATTGTCGTATGCCGYCGGCTTTTCGTCGTAGCCCTGCAAGTGGMCGAGCTGGTGGTAACCGCCGCTACCACCATCGTAGTAACCGACGTTGCCGTACTGCAGCAACGACTGCTGCTGTTGCTGTTGTTGATGACCGTAAATGCCACCGTAGTCGCAATTGGCCACAGCAGCCGCGGCTGCGGTTGCGGCCTGCAGCGCGGCCACTGACGACGGTCCGTAATTGTACGTAATGTCCTCGTACGATGTGGATTCATCGTCTACAAACGACGACGAAGACGACGCGGTGCTACCGATCGGGTGACCGACAACGCATGTCACCAGCTGCTGTTGTTCCGCACCCGGCATCCAGTAGGATGGCGCCGACGACGAAAGGTCCTGGACGACGTAACGCCCGTCGCCGAGCCCAGCCGACGACGATGGCGTGGCCGCTACACCGAGGGCCGTCGTCAATTCTTGCTTCACTGTAACACAAAAATATCGTTTTGTTCGTCATTTTTGATTTTTATGTACAAATATTTATTTGTATATAATATATGTTACCAAAAACTATTTATAAGATATTGTTATTTCATTTTATTTGACACATTTATGTACGTAAATTCATCTATTTACATGGTATATTTTATTTATTTTATAGTGAAAGTACCACTTTACAGTACCTAAATTCTTCTTTATGGAAGGCAACTTGTTTATTATAATTATGAATTTCCTTGCAGATGATCGGAGCCAACTGGTTTTTAATAATCATTTTAGTTATAATATAAGGCGGAAGGGAGGTAATTAGTATATTTTGGAAATGAACTATAGTAAATAAMCCAGCCATAAATTATAGGTACCATATAATATAAAAATAAGAAATTCGCACCAAAATTAATATTTTTAACATCTCTAAAATCTTTTCAAACTCCTAAAATCCATTTATCTACAAACCTGGATAATTTTTATTTTACAAATTTAATGTGAAAATTAAGTCGGGTTTTCAATAATTAGTTGATTAAAAATAATTATTATAAACAAAATTAATAATTGTATTAAATATATAATACTACTATATAGACACTAATATACTTAACGTTTTTTTGGGAAAGGAATGAGCAAGGTTAGGTTTTTTTTATTGATATCCGAAAAATGTCTTTCTTATGATAGGTAGGGGAGAGCGGAGTTAGTTGTTACACTTTTGACTTATCGATTTTTTATAATTTTTCTTTTACTATGATCATAATTTTTGTGACACCATTCTA